GCAATCCTACTTCCGTAGCGATACTGCCTCGGAAACCCAAGGTGGGGTCACTATGAGTCGGGGCCGACTCGACGGCACATAACCACCACCACCAGCAATTGCTAATGGTCTGAACTTCTCCATCTCCTTGCCAATATTTGTTATTTTCCATTTTTCTTATATTAGCCACTCTGCTGCTGCTGTTCCGTGTCATTAGCTGATTCTGACTCAGTTACCCTACATAACAGATCTGAACTTCCCCATGGGTTTCCTAGGCTGTAATCTTTATGGGAGCTGACTGACATTTCTTTTTTCCCCATGGTGCCAATTACCTGTGAGTTTGAACTGAGCTTTCCATTAGCAGCAAGCTCAAAACTACTGCACCATCAGAGATCCTTATAGCCATCCTGGTGGATGTGAAGTGATATTTTATTGTGTTTTGATTTGCATTTCCCTAATGACAGTGGAGCATCGTTTCAGGTGCTTTCTGACTATTTTTCTATCTTCTTTGAAGAAATGTCTGTTTAAGTCATTCAACACATTTTCAATTGGGTTGTTTGTCTCTTTTTCTGTTATGGTGGTTGAATTATAAGAGGATTCTCCGTTTCTTTAGCCACACTCCTTATCATACATACATACAACACAGTCTATCTGTATCCTCCTAATCAACTTGGTCACTCTCTTAAGGACAGTTTCTGCTAGTTTAATATCCTTCTGAAAATGTGGTACCCCATCTCTCTTCTCACTCTTCTTTTGAGGACAAAAGGGAGTCTCCAATATGAAACCTTTTAAATCTCCTCTAGATAATTAACCCAAATTTTTGTAACAGCAACTCCTCATTCTATTATTTCAAATTTATGGGATGAATGTTTGGATTACAACAGCCCTGGATCTTTATTGACTTTGTAATTGTCAATATGATTCCTTCTCAGTTTCTGAGTATCCAAAAGGAATATATCTTTTTCAGTTTGCTAAACAATACATTGGGAGCTTTGGTAGCATAGTGCCTAAGGCACTTGACTGCTAACCAGAAGGTTGGCAGTTCAAACCCATCAGCCACTCCTCTGAAGGAAGATGGAGCAATCTACTTCTGTAGTGATATTGCCTCAGAAACCCAAGGAGGGGTCGCTATGAGTAGGGTCCGACTCAACGGCACATAATAACAACAAACAATATGTCAGGAGCTCTGGTAGCACAGTGCCTAAGGCACTTGACTGCTAACCAGAAGGCTGGCAGTTCAAACCCACCAGCCACTCCTCGGAAGGAAGGTTGGGCAATCCTACTTTCGTAGTGATACTGCCTCGGAAACCCAAGGTGGGGTTGCTATGAGTCAGGCCAACTCGATGGCAGATAACAACAACAACAGCAAACAATATGTCATTATCAAAGTCATCATTCTCTATCAAAATTCTATTTAATTTAATAAATCTTAGGAGAAGAGGATACCTACTAACAATGTAAATTAATTTTAAAGACAATAGCATTCCCACCAAATTTGGTGCTTTGTGGTTTGCTATTTCTTTTTTTCTTTCTTTATTTTAAGAGCTTGTTTTACATTCAATGTATACATTTAGTTTCATTCCCCATTCACTATGTCCAACCCTAACCTGTCTCTTCCCCTCCCTATCCTGTAACTCTCCTCCTGTGCCCCTCATATTTATGCACTCCTATTTGTCCTGTATTTCCTCAATTTGAATGTTGGTCCTCTGTGCCCTGTGGTCTACTGCTCTAAGGGATGTATTACCACAGAGTACGTGGGTGCATCATCCTGGGTTGAGTGGTCTGTGTGTACATCTTATTAACTACTAGGCTGATAGCTAGTCCCTGGGGGTGAGTTTCCTTCCAGGCGCAGAATGTATTCCAGGGTCATAGTATTGGGAGTCTCACCAGATTTCATCTGACCAGTAATTCTGGTCATTATTGAGTTCTTTAATTTTGTTCCACATTTTTCCTCCCACTCTATCCAGAATCTCCAGATCTGATCCTTTCCTGAGTGGTTGGCATTGGTAACCAGGCACCATCTAGTTCTTCTGGTCTCAAGGGCCATTGTGTCCTATGAGTGGTTTGTTATTTCTAAAAGAAGAGTCATTAGGACAAAAACAGAAAGCTCTATTTTCAAAAAATATTCAGCAGTCCTTGAATATATTCCTGTACAAGCATTAAACAATTTTAAGTTATGTTCATGAACAATATTACTTTTTTCCCAGCATAATCCAACGAACACGGACTATAAACATGCTCTACAGTTTGTAACAGAACTGAGACCTCTCCTACATTTCTAGAATCTTCACAACGAATTATTGTCTTATTCAAATACTCAGGTTTAACTCTGTCTAAGCCAAACAATTTCTTCAAAGTAATATATAACTCTACCTTAAGAAAAGGAACCAGATGAGGTTGAGGTGAAGACTTGAGTTCAACATACAGTTTTCTAGTAAATTCTTCTGCTTCAATTTTTGCATCCTGAAGATTGAGAGAAAGAAACCTAATTTCAGATCTATAAATATTTTTAAAGAGGCAAAGTATAGTTCATGAGTATATAATGTTTATCCTAGACATGATTATCCTAGACACAGTAAGCTTTTCACAGTTGGTAAAAATCCATCATTAATGTTCACAGAGAATACCGAGAAGACTTTTTTTTTAAGATCCAAGGAAGGAAACTGGCAGAAGAGCTGGATGACTGAGTAATGTTACATTATTATAGTCTGTTATGAATAATTAGGAAGTAAAGACACATAAAAATTCTAAATTTCTTGGGGTAGGGAACAGGAAGTTATCTGGTTACAGACTTTTTTTTTTCCATTTTGTTTTTTATATATTTTTAAGTTACATTAACCAATATAAAGATAGTTATTTCTGGAAAACTACTGCAAGGCCATAACAGCAGATACACTATTGTTCCAAATGTCTGAGGAACTCATACATGTTGCTTTAGGCACCAAGCCTTTCAGTAATTTGTGATGTCTAAATTATTTTCATATTCATACAAGGATTTTTTTGTGTGTACATGTGCCTTTTTTTACTGTGTTCATATTTGCACTATTGGTTCAAAAGCACCAGTGGATAAAAGTGCTGGCATGAAAGGCAATGGTGACAAATGGTAAGTTGTCCTCATACTCTGTATCACTGTATACTTTTTATGTTCAAAAAAAAAAAAAAAAAAAAATGGAGCCAGTTACCTAAAAAAATGTCTTCAATGAAGCAGAAAAGATTATAAATTTTACTTAATCTCAACTCTACAGTACATGTCTTGTTAATATTATGTGTGACAAAATTGTGAGCACATATTCTGCTGCAGACCAAAGTTAAGATGTTCAAGGACCGTGCTGCTGGCTAAAACAGCTGCTCCTTCATAGAGCACTATTTTTACTGGAAAGAATTAAAATTTAACTGTGCTTACTTGTATCGGGATACTTGGTCAACATTTTCTCAAAAACAAAGTAAACCTGTCACTCAAAGGAAAATAATGAGTAGTTTTTGTTGCTAATGATAAAATTAAAGCTCTCGAGCCAAAATTAAAATTTTGAAAAATGTATATCTACTACTCTGAACTTGATACATTTCTAGTAATCAAAGACTTTTCCGATGATACTGGTGGTGAAATTAACCAGCATTTTATTTTTAAATCTTAAATATCTAATCTGTCAATACTTAGAAGATCTGCATAACTCAGTAAGCCAGTATTTTCCAATTGACCAGTACAGGGTGTTACAAACGAAGGCATGGGGAAAAGATCCATTCAACATGCAAAGTAGTGGACTCTAAAGAAAATCCACAATGATTTAGAGAAAAGCTATTAAAATATTCACATATTCAACCATCAAATTGTACAAGGCTAGATTTTCTCCAAATATTTCAACCAAAATAACATTATAAAAAAACAGATTCCAGACAGAACCAGATATGGTAGCTGTTTTCTATTAACTTTGACATTCAATAGATTTGCAAAATTGAAAGCAATGCCACTTTTCTCACTAGGTACTTTTTCATCTTGAAAATTAGTTAGTTCTCATAAAAATGCTACTTATATTAATATGCAATGGATTTGTTATTTTTTTAAAAAAAAATTTTCAGTTTTATTTCCAAACCCACATGAATAAAACGCTTCTATGAGGTCTTCAATTTTCAAGAATATAAAGGTATCTCAGATGGAAATGCTTGAGAACTGCTGTTTTAAGCTAAATAATCCCATTGCTGTCAATTGATTCAGGCTCGTAGTGACCCTACAGGACAGACTACAACTGCCCCACAGGGTTTCCAAGGCTATAAAATCCTTACAGAAGCAAACTGCTACATCTTACTCCTGCAGAGTGGCTAGTGGGTTCAAAATGCCAACCACTTTGGGCTGGCAGCTGAGCGCTTTAACGACTGTGCCACCAGGTGCCCATCTAAAATTAAAAGATTCCCCCCAAATAGAAAACTAACCATTTAAAATGTGGTCTATTTCTAACATCTTATAGGTAGCATAATTAGCTCTGATGGCGTCCTGCCTAAGTCATCTGACTGTTAACCAGAAGACTGGAAATTCAAACCCACCAGCCACTCCTCGGAAAGAAGACTTGGCAATCTACTTCTGTAATAACACCGTGTCAGAAACCTAAGGAGGGGTCTATGAGTTGCATCCAATTTGATAGCAGTGAGTTTGTTATTTTTGGTTTATAGGTATCATAAAAAATAGTACTAAAGAAAGTATTTTGGTATTTATAAACGATGTTTGTTTTCTTATACAATGTTTGAGATAGATACATATTCCTGTGGGAAAGAATATTTTTATATGAAGAATATACAGAAACTCTTATATGGTCAGAGAAACCTGAAGATTTTAGCAGTTCAGGAAATCCAAAATTATATTTGTTTGTTACCAAAAGAAAAAAAAAAAAAAAAACACTACCGTCAAGTCACACTAGACTCACAGCAACCCCTCCTTGGGATTCTAAGGTGGTATCACTAAGGAAGTAGATTCCCCAACCTACCTTCCAAGGAGTGGCTGGTGAGTTTGAACCGCCAGCCTTCTGGTTAGCAGTCAAAATGCCTTAGGCACTACACCACCAGCGCTCCCTTGTTTGTTACATCCTCAGCATATTTCTTTAAACATATGGTAAAAATATTTAGTAATTTCCATCTTCATCCTCCTTAGTGTATCTAAGTATTTTAATTGAAAGAGGACAAAAACAAACTAAACAAGCACAATTCCATAGCTTTGAAACAAAGTATCTTTGCACTTGTAGAGACCTCAGAAATGAAGTTTATTCATCTTATAGATAAGGAAACTAAGGTCTAAAAAGATTAACTAACTTTTAAAAGTTACTAGAAGTTTACTGCTGGGACATTATGGAACTGAAATTTGTATTTTCTGATAGCTGGGCTTTCTGGCATTTTGTAACTCTAGTAACAATTTCCTACCTGACCAAATAGTTAACTTTCTCTCTAAGGCCAAAAAGGCTAAGGGAATCTGGACTGGTATAAAAAAAGTAATACATAGATTTATATATAGTTGTTGTTGTTGTTGTTTGCCGTCAAGTCAGCCCCGACTCACAGCGACCCCTCCTTGGGTTTCCGAGGCAGTATCACTACAGAAGTAGGATTGCCCAACCTTCCTTCCGAGGAGTGGCTGGTGGGTCTGAACTGCCAGCCTTCTGGTTAGCAGTCAAGTGCCTTAGCCACTATGCTACCAGAGCTCCCTTATATATAGTAATATACATAAATATAAAGTAATATAATAGATTTACTTGTCTGAGATTTATATTTATTCCAAAGCTTTCAAGAAGCAAAAACTCAAAAACAAAATTAAAATAAAACTCGTTAAAAATACACACATTTCCCATTTCCAAACCAAAAATGAAAACCAAACTTACTGCTGTTGAGTTGGTTGAACTTACAGCGACCCCTCCTAGGTTTCCAAGGCACTATCTCTACAGAAGTAGATTGCCCAATCTTCCTTCTGAGGAGTAACTGCTAGGTCTGAACTGCTAGCCTTCTGGTTAGCAGTCAGATCCCTTAGGCACTACACCACCATGCTTTATGGGTCCTTAGAGAGCTTGTAAAATTTTATAGTAATAACTTACCAAAAGTTGTTCCACCAGTTTCTTCACGTTCTGCCCCATTTCTGGGGACTGTGATCCACTACATGCTAGTTTTATTAACATTGCAAGGAAGTTCTTACATTTCTTCACATTTTCTAGCATCATCTAAATATGGAAATACAAATATAAATAAAAGTAATCACAAATGTTAGCTAGAAAATAGAATTCAAGAAAATCTGTAAGAAACTATGGTTATGTAAGGTATATGTGAGCACTTACCGGAGAAAGATTAGTCTGAGCAACTGTCAAGTTCTCGGTTTTGAGACTGGGCTCACTGGAAGGGGTAGGTGATACTCCGAAACTTGAAGGCTTCAGGGTAGTTACAGTATTCAACGGCTTTACAGGAGTAACTGTGACCACATTGGTTGGCACAGGAACAGACTGAAATTAATAGCATATATCTAGATAGGTATTACCCAAGATACTTTACTGCGGTATTTCATTTCATAGTCATCAAATAACAAGGAATCTTAACATCTTTCTTTTGTTTGTCTCTGCTACGCCAAGGTAATGTAACAGTTATAAAAGCTTTGGAGTCTACCAGGTCTGGATTTCATTCATTCTACTAAATGATCCATCTCAGGCAATGTATTTAAGCCTGCTAACCATGATTCCTCTCCTTAAAAAAAAAAAAAAAGTAGAGTAATGGTACCTTATGTCCTAAGATTGTATGTGGGGGAAAAAGTCCCAAACATACCCATCCTCAAAAAATATTACTAATATATCTCTAAAATGGATTTGAAATAATTAATCTTTACATGAAAATAGAGAATTTCCTGGTCTGAAATTTTCTGCTTTTTCTTAAATATAAAAGCAGAGAGATCTACTGGTTTCCTGATAAGCTGCTTTTATGTAGACTATTACAGTAAACATAAAAAATATTACAAAATGTGGTATATTTTCATACTGAAAAGACTTTTGGTTGTTTTCTTCCACCCCCCTATTTAAATAAGGTGTGATTCTAGCACCACCTGCAGGATAATAAAGCTTAACACAAAAAAGTCAGGTAGTAATTTAGAAAATCACATTAACATAAAAATAATCTAATTATAAAAAGACAACACAAAATGTTACAGGACTTGAGAAAAGTCTGGGAAGGAGAATGGTGGATAATATTTATAACTCACATAGAAACCTTAGTCTTGCCTCATTTTAATTTAAATGCACATATTTTAGAGGCACACAATAAGAAAGGTCAGGTTGCTGTCACCTTCAAGGAATTTTCCTTCTAATAGTCCAGATATGTGAATCTGAATGTACACCAAAATTTCCCACTTATGAAAGCTTAGAGCATGTATTAGACAAGAATGCTTTGAAGATAAAATGAGAAGGAAATAAACATACTGATTAATTATTAAAAAATAGAACTAATGAAGCAATGTTAAGCAATAAGGCAAAATTTAAAATAGCACCTAAATTAAATGATTTTACTAAATACAGACAAAGCCTCAAAAGCAACACTGAAAATCAAGTCTCCTCCTTCCTACCTCTGCTCTCCAGAGACAATTACTGGGCAGCTGAATTCTTGCAGAGATTTTCCAGTAAACTTTTAGGATTATGTCATTAAAGACTCTTGTCAATGAGTGTATTTTCTAATCAACTCTTTACTCTTTGTATTTAAGAAAACATAATCTGGAAGTTCAGCTGGCGATTATGATTGCTTCTGGGCTTGAAGGAAAGTGTCCTGTTCTGGTTCTCTAGTGCCGCTCTGACAAGAATATACCACAAATGGGATGGCCTTAATAAACAGGAGTTTATTCTCTTACAGTTCAGGAGGCTAGAAGTATGAGTTCAAAGTGCCAGGCTCTAGGGGCTGGGTGAAAGCCCCTCAACCTTGGGGTCCAGCTCTGCCTCCTGCTCCCGGCCCCCTGGAACTAGAGGTGTTTCTTCACTCAGACAGCTGCTGGCTGACAACCCAAGGTTGACAAGTAAAAAGGCACAGTCCGGATGTTACCAAACCACATGGCAGGCCATTAATTCAAGTCCACTGAAAGTCCCAAGGTCGGCAGAGCATAGCAGGCTGCTGAACAATGACACGGCTACATGCAGGGTTCAAGCGTGCCATAAGCTAAAGACTATCCCCAAGGCTTCTCCTGATATACAGGAAGCAGACCACATCCCTAAGGCAGCTACTCAGCTGCACTGTGGTAGATCCCACCATGCAGCTGACTGCTACATGGGGAACAACTACCACCAGCTGCCCAGCCACTCAACCAGGCCCAGCCAAGTTGACATACAAATTTAAGTACCACAGGTCCCTAGAGACAGCTGTCCCTCTCCCTTATGAGACCAAATAAAGCCCAAGGAAATATAATCTCAGCAAAACATCCTTATTTTTTATATATAGAGGGAGTATTTATGACCATTTCTGCTTTCCTCATCAGTATTTTATTTCCTCTCCTATACAAAATCTGGTCCTCATAACTCTTTTTAACATAGCTATGACCTTTACCTTTTCAGATACATGCTGCTTCTATACCAATTCCACTTCTTAAGGAGCATGCAGAAGCACTAATCTTGGTCTACTCTATCTACTTAATCCCTTTGCATTGTAGGATACATAACTCAGCTTTAGCCTATATTCCAGACTAGCCTATGGTACTTTCATGTTTTTAAGGACTACAATGACACTAATTAGATATGTTCTGGGGCAAAGAGCAAAAAGGGGTAGAAAACGTGAAATAAATCTGTATGAAAATCAATTATACAGAGCCAGTGGAATTAATTACATGCAAACTTAGCAGGCAAAACTCATTTCAAAGAGACTCATTTTCTGTACCTGTCTGAAAGAGTAATCATTTTAGGTTTTCTCGTATTTAATTAAAAATATCAATTACAACATCCAGTCATTTGCACATTAGATTCCAATCTAACAGTGAACTAGGCTACAACTTCATCAAAAACAAAACAACAAAACTGAACAAAGGTATCAAACTAGTTCTTATGTTTACTATACTAGGCTATTATTTCAAACCACTTTAAAGAAGAATCAGTATCTCTTAATAGGGAAACACTTTCAAAAAATCTTAACACATGTATTTGCCTTTACAAATAGACACATGCAAAATATCCTTCCTCTTCTCATTGCCAAGGTCAATTTCCTTATTTGCAAGAAATGTCTAAAAAACTGATCTCCTTACCCCTCAAAGCAAACACAGGTATTACTCATGAACTTCACTGGTTGAAGCAATCCAAGATATCCTCTACTGCCGAAGCCTAGCACTCAGTAACAACCAAGCTTAAAATATGCATCAGTTTCAGAAAAAAAAAAAGGTGGGGACCAGGTTTGCTGGTCCAATAGAGCCTGGTGGAACCACTGAGACTATGGCCCCTAGCTGCCCTTCAGGTCTGGAATCGAACCCACACCTGTGGTTGCCAGCCAAACAAAGTACAGGCATGTGAGTTAAACATTTACCTCAAGTAGACACACGCCCTAGAGAGAACTATCATGGGAGAAGTAAGGGCTGCATATGCACAGGGAGACAGCTCAGGTGGCAGGAGAGTATGGAGGGATGGGCAGTGGGAAGAGGTAACTATGGGGAAGGAAGTGGGAGGGGGAGCTGTTGCATTGTGGTAAACTGTGGTCAATGACATGCAACAAAGTATATGTGAACTGCTGTATGGAAAGTGAATTTTCTCTGTAAATCTTCACCCAAATCAAAATTAAAAAAAATACATATGCATCAGTCTCAATTAGGAAAATTATAAACAAATAATCCACATAAGAAATATCAGTGGTAAGTATATATATGGAAAAGTAATCCAAGGAAAAAACTAAGCAACCCAGATACATAGTTTTAGAATTAATTATACATGTTGTGTTGTTGTTATGTGCCATCAAGTAGAACCCAACTCATAGCAACCCCTCCTTGGGTTTCCAAGGCAGTATCACTACAGAAGTAGAT